CGCAATGAATAATTCATTCACTGAATTAAGAATATTTTAAAAATTTCAGAAATTTAAACTATGGAAGCATTTTCATTCAGTTCAACCGTGCACTTCATATGGCGTTAGTGAAAATGAAACTCACGATCAATGCCTGTGCTTCAATCATTCACATAAATCAAAAATTTGTAATCTATAAACAGAATCTGATGCCATCAACAAACACAGCCTGGGCAACAAACGCCGTCGACTGGATATTGTTGCTACTAAATTGTGATTCAGAAAATGAAAACACAAAGAGAGAGATATATCTCTGAAATGTACATCCTGAATTGATGCGATGATGGCATCTTGTTCAAGGAAGAAAACAGTCGCCTTTGTTGGATGCACATTTACGTCGATTCGATTCGGAGCAATCTGTAAGGCAGGCGATTTATAGTTGAGTATGACTGAGTAAAGATTATGTTCATGAATACAGAGTATAAATCACAAAAGGGCATAAATCTGCCTCGTTTTCACTGCTTCTGAAAAGGGTAAATGAAAGAAGGATTATTCGATGACGATAAGCACAACCAACCTGTAACGATAACATAATGAATGTTGAAAATGTATTCTGTGCAGCAAACACGACGTCCAATGCTTGTTTCAATTGTGCACATTCAACACTTCGATTGTTGATAAACAAGTAGAAAATCTTTTGACGATTCTTAAAGCAAATCATTACTCGTTTAGCAAATATCGGAAAGAAGACGCAAAAGAAGATTCCATTTCGGGACATATTTCCAAATCACAGCAATGAAACGAAATGCAGAGTTGAAAATGACGATTGAAATGTGGAAATCGCAAACGAAACGGATAGATAGAAAAGTATCTACTTGTTTAGATTGAAGACTCGGTGCCGTACACGATGCACTCGGTCGAGCCATGCAACCTTTCAGCGAATAGAACAGTTTTTGATGGTCGCGATCCAGACTTATCAAATTCTTAAAAACGAATCGAATACTCAACGAAAGATAACCAAACAACGTCCTACTAAAATATATATTTTGCAATAATGAACAAAAAATGTCCAAAGACTACAAATCAGAAGAGCTGTGCGAAAGAGAACGAATCAAACGAATCCAATAAGGTTAGTTGGATGAAGCCTCCACCTTTGCCGCATTGCTTCCATGAAGCGATGCAATCACCTTGAACTGATCCCCGTCACCTGTCGTACGAAAATCGTTCCCACTGCCACACCGTCGCATCGTGAACGAAACAGTCCTAAGAGAATCCCACTTTCATAAAAATGTATTTTGACGTGCTGGTTTCAGAATAGATTACGTCAAAGTTTTCTGGATATTTTCTTCCATGAAGGAGAATTCCCTCGAAATTTTGTTGCACACTTTAAATTCGTACTCGTCACGGATAATCAATCAACGATTCATGTTGAATGAGAGGTAAAAATAGCAAAGAATTTCGAGTTACACTCAACAATGGATTTTAATGAATAGCAATTTGCTGCGATTTTGAGTCATTTCGAAAAATGTGCACGAGACAAACTGCACTAACGGATTATGAATCGCGTATCTGATGACCACATCCGCGATTCGGTTCATCTCATCGGCTGGATATTTGAGTGCACGACGTCGACACGGCGTATTGTAGAAGAGCTCTTCTGCGGTTACGACCGTTCCCTTGAGGCCCGCCGACGAACGAATATCACCCGTTATATGGCCATCTGACAACAAGCACGGAATGTTACGTTACGTGCGTTTTTGAGAATTATATTTGAATGAAAAGCATCAAATGAACATAAAATACATTCGGATAA